GTTCCTCACTAAAGTTTCATTTTACCTTCTGCTTTTAGAGTTGCTTTCTTCCTATTTTCCCAAAGCTAAAAATATAGGGCCATAAATACTCTTAAATACAGTCCCCTTTTAAAATTGAGTTCCTGGTGAAAAATAGGGTGTTTCTTTTTTAAAGTCTGACTCATTTTTTGCATTGATTTAACATATATTGTAAACTTATATCTGGAATTTTAAAGGAAAAGCAATCCTAAATGCAAAGTGCTATGGACTGAATTTTATTCCTTCCTCCAAATTCTTATGTTGAAACCCTAATCTTCAATGTGAATGTTTTGGAGATAGGACCTTGAAAGAGGTAATTAAGGTTAAATGAGATCATAAGGATGGAAACCTAATTCAGTAAGGCTGGTGTCCTTACATGAAGAGGAAGGGATAACTAAAGCTTTCTCTCTTTTCCTCCACAAACAGAGGAAAGGCCACATGAGGAAAACAGAAAGAAAGCAGCCATCTTCAAACCAGGAAGAGAGTTCTCACCAGAAATCAAGTCTTATGGCACCTGGCTCTTAGACTTGTAGCCTCTAGAACTATTAGAATTTAAATTTCTGTTGTTTGAGCCACCCAGTCTGTGGTATTCTAACAGCCTAACAGATTAACATAGGTCATCACCATATTTGCACTATTTCTCATAAACCTAGATAGTCTTTCTTCAAGACTGTAATTATTAGTAAAATAATATACCTACATTCTAATAAATGATTACCTAGATACTCCGGTATCTAGGTATCACCTAATGGTGATTAGTTTACAGTTACTACTCAGGTGCAGGTGACAGCAAAATTCTTACTGCCACTTCCTTTTGCACTTAAACTGGCTATTTATGACAATGGGAACACCATATCACAAGAGGAATTATTTCTGTATTTTCTTTCATGCTCACAACTATCAAAATTTCTGTAACTGAAATTTTATTAATATTTCTTATAACACTTAGATAAGTTCATTAAATCTCTCTAAACATAGAAGAGAACTGCCCTGAATAGATCATGGTATACAAAATGTTTTATATTGAAGTTTATAGCAATTGCTGGGCATTTATATTACAACTTCCCTATGAGTTATACAAAATAAAAAGAACAAATAAGTTGCAAAACATAGGCAATCATGGTTTAACTTCTAATTCTTTCATGATAATTTATTGAGACAGATTGGAAACAAAAACAAATAGAAGAGAAAGAAGATGAAATTGGGGAAAAAGGGAGAGAGAGAAGAAGTAGAGGAAGAAAATGAAGAAATATAGGCTTTCTCCATTTCTATAACTAGTAATGCTTTCAATTCCTAGGTTCCTAGATCTAATGCATATTTAAGGAAGACATCTTAATTAGATAAATTTTATAAATGCTAAGGTTGAGCAGACTAAATCAAGGGATCCATATAATTAAGTAAAATGAGCCCCACTTGTCCTGTTTCTTTATAGACTTCACCATAACCTCTCAAGTAGGTACAAAATATGTTTTTCATCCTAATATAGGTAATTTAATCAATTCTTATTTGCCTATGAAATTATAAGACATAAACATGTAAGTGCTTGAAATACATTAAAATAAATGAAATTTGTTTTTATCATAATTACTATGTGCCCTCATGTTGAAAATACACATAATATGATAAATTTAAAATAATTTATACTTAGTTACCATAATTATGATAATTTTAAAATTTACCTATACTTATTAAAATTCTAAATTTAGAAATCTTAACGGGTTTATTTTAATAAACTATGATAAATACAGCTACATTAAGAATTTACCTGCCGGGCGCGGTGGCTCACGCCTGTAATCCTAGCTCTCTGGGAGGCCGAGGCAGGCAGATTGCTCAAGGTCAGGAGTTCAAAACCAGCCTGAGCAAGAGCGAGACCCCGTCTCTACCATAAATAGAAAGAAATTAATTGGCCAACTGATATATATATATAAAAAAATTAGCCGGGCATGGTGGCGCATGCCTGTAGTCCCAGCTACTCAGGAGGCTGAGGCAGAAGGATCGCTCGAGCCCAGGAGTTTGAGGTTGCTGTGAGCTAGGCTGACGCCACGGCACTCACTCTAGCCTGGACAACAAAGCGAGACTCTGTCTCAAAAAAAAAAAAAAAAAGAATTTACCAATCAAGAGCTAATGCTCTTTTTCTTCCCAATGGGAGCAGGGAAACAACTAAAACGAATTCTGGACCCTGCTACAGCACTATGTCAAGTGGTCATTGTGCATGACAAGAAATAAATAAACATGGCATTTTATCTTTTATAAAATTCTATGAACTGTCATGATAAGGTTTAAGACAGCTAGATTAGATATGATACATAGTGACACTTCTGTGGCAGGAGACATTTTTATAGCATGCCAGGCAAGAATCGGGGCCAACAAATTAATGAATAATTTCTATGGCTAATCTACAATTATGAGCTTTACTGGGTTGCCAATTCATGATAGGAAACTTAAGAAAACTCATCACTGGTAAATCCACAGATGATACTGACTTTTAAAATGACACCTAGACATTATTTTTCTAAGTGGTTCTAGAAAATTGATTTCTATTAACAGAAGTTCCCATTCACAAAATAGGATAGGTTCATGGAAAATAGTCTAGTGAAGACTACATTTTATCATCATCCAAAGCAGTTATTAAAACTAGTTTAAAATGTATATACTGTTGGTTTATACCCTAGAAAATCTAATTCAGCAGGTATGGAAGGGATCCAGAAAACTGTACTCTATGATGCAATAGTTCTATGGCAAGGACAGTTTAGAAATTCTTATCCATAGCAAACATTGTTTCTATTTTAACATACTGTGTCATTGGGCATTGTGCAAAGCAGGTCCACAGACAGATTGCAATGAAAATGTTTATGTGATCATAGAGATGTTGCAATAAAATTTTGTCTATGCCAAAATTACATTTATTGGCCAATTGTTTGACCTCCATTTTAAAAATAATTTCCAAAGTTAAGACTTTCATAAACATATTGGCTTACAGAGGAGATGAACCAAATACACTATAATATTTACAGTTTTCTCCCCTTCAATAAGGTATACATTTTCTTGACATTTTGCAAACAAAGAATTAAAATATGATAATTTAACCTACCTCACTCAGAGATTCAAAACAGCGATGGTCATAAGGAGCAGTCTACTTTCATGTAGATTATGGCAATGGTGAGTCAAGTTCCACTTATTGTATTTGTCAGGTTACAGATCTGTTGGCATGAGGATGCCCTAATCTTAATTTATTCCCTGTGTTCTTTGAGTGCTAGCTACCTCAATGATTTCACCTATTTGAAATACACACACACCCTTCTAACTATGAGCACAGACAAATGGGAAAAGTGCCAAAGTAAGGCCAGTTTGAATATGTAAAGTATCAGACATATGGCCCGATTGTAGTTACTGAAGAGTCAAACAGATACTAACTTATATTTTTAAACTCAATTTCTTAACCATGCTCTAATAATCATTTTGTAGTGAATATCAATCTAAAATTTTCTTCCTTATTCTTCTGCAATACTATAGGACCACTTTCATTTTATTTTTAATTTTTCTCCCTGGATCATACATATTTCAAAAATATGTTAATGAAACTAAGAAAAACAAAATTAGTTATAATAATTCACAATGCACTTCATGCCAAAAAGAACAACATAATTACAACCAGTTCTTATATGTTAATCTCTTATTTTTTTGTTTCTCACTATCCTATTTCTTCATTTATAAGTGAGAAGGTATTATTAACTTTTGTAAGTATCAAGTCCACTAGATTTTATATTTCTATTTTTTCTTGTAATATAGTTTCTGTCAAATCTTAGTCATCCTTATTGATAAAGTATACTTTTCTCTTTCACGTTTTTCTTGTACTGTCCCCTAATGACTTTTATCTGATACTCAATACAATATTTTCTACTTTCAGGTGATTTAAATCTTAACCAATATCCCTATGCCTAGCATCGCTGACCCATAATAAGGGACTAATAAGTTTCTAATGAAGAGATAAATGAATGAATAAAAGAATGAGCATTTCAAAATATTAGCAACTCAGTGAACATATGTTGATGAATCAATGTATGAGCACACATTGTTTATCATCCAGTAAAGTCCTAGGTTTAATCTTTTTTTATCAAATGAGTTGGCTGGAGTTGCTGACCAGCTCTTTGTTGGAAGGTTTTATAAAGTGTGTTTCACATGCTACGTATTAATATATATCAACTTGTTAATTCCTTCCTACACTACAACTTTATGACTTTATTTGGAAATAAGGGAAAGAAAAGTGACTCGCTGAACAAGATCCAAGAACTACTAAGTGACAGAGGAAAGATCTAGACCCAGACACACCAAAGTCCACCCTTTTGGAGGTTTTGGTTAATGGGGAAACAATCTCTAAAATTCTTTAGTCTAAATAATTAGACTAAATAAACAATCTCTAAAATTCTTTAGTCTAAATTCTTTAGTCAGAAATAATTATTTAAAAGTAAAAAAATTTAAATTAAATGCCACAGAAAATTGGAGTTTCTTAAAAGAAGGTCAAACATTTATTTAACGTGATTTTTCATACACAATCCTACAAAAGATGGTTCACTCACATGATCTCTCTTTGCTCTTTCATTTAGCAAATTCTTCTTAATCTGTTTATGGCTATTCTGAGGTCTACATTAGTGAACACAGGCTAACTTAAGTCCCAGTCTTCCTAATGTTTTGGCATTTTCTACAAAAATACTTTTTTCTGTTTGTCACATTTATAAATACAAATATTTAAGGAACTATAATTTTGTATGCTATATACACAAACATATTACATGGCGTATATTGCAATTAAATTTTACTGTGTCCATTTACCAAGTTTTTCAGATATCCCAGAATTTTCTGGAAAAAAAGGTGCTTATTCCTACTTACATTGTAGAAATCATTTAGTCTATAAGAAGGTTAAAGAGTTTTTTAAACATTTGTTGTGGATAATAGACATATAACATACAGAGATAGTTCCATACCTGTTTTATTGGAAAGTCTAAATGACACCATCTTATCAGGAATATTACATACATTCCTCACTGAAGCAATGCAGCTATAATTAGCATAGTCCTGAGGTCGAAGATTCTTTAGTTTTAAGATCTTTGTTTCACCCTGAAAATGTAGAAAAGTTCATTAGAAAAAGCCAATGATAACCAGAATGAATGACTGAAACATGGCATTATATTGTATTAAATTGTATTATTATCAGAATATGGCAGATTGTCTTATTTTTTAAGGAAAATGCCCTAAATTTAAAAAGCTCTACATGTTAAAATAATACTATAATATTAATTATGCCTGGAGATAAAAACTAATAGACCACAATAAAAATTCATAACATTTTCTTTGCAAACTATCTTCCTAGGGGAAAAATCTATTTCTGGAGGTAGTTATGCAAATTATTATGCAAAGATCAGAACAGTGTACTTAATAACAGAGTTTATTCAACAAACACTGCAATCTATGCAGACATCAACATGAAAAGTTATGAAAGAAAAGAACCCTGAAGAAGAGCCAGTAAATGAAAACCTGTTGTTAGAACATAGTTAATGAAGTAAATCTAATGGTATATAATTCAATTTGCATACATAAATATTCTATGTTTATAGAGCAGTGAGAGGTTACAGATCTAAAACTGAATGAAAGAAGCATTCATGAGTGTTTCTATATTATTACTGTTACTGTTTTTTCATGCTCAGGAGTTCAAGGGCTAGGTCTCCAGATAAATCTACAAAATTATAGACAGATCCAAATCAGGCAAGTAGCCAGAATTATTTTACAAAATATTGAGCCAGGAAAGGCCATGTAAAAACATTAGATTGAAATTGTTCAAAAAGTAAAACAAATAAACAAATAACAACAATGAGAATCTCTCCTGCCCAATTTAAGTTCCCTGGAATTTCTTTGCCTTCTAAAGTCATTAATGCATCTTTTCAACATAGTTCCTCTCGTAACTAACTTACTTATTGTGATGGCAGAACAATGTCCCAATAACTTTATAGTATTTAAGATAGCAATTTTCAAACTGTTAATTTTATATAGATAGCATCTATATGTCATATATATTTCTTCCACTTTACTTGGATAACATTAGTCAAGCTGTAGAAACTGCAATATTTTCATAATACTTTCGTGATTGAGAAGGATTTAAATACTTAGTGACTTCATACAGAGACACTGCTGTCCATTTGTGATGAAATGCCCAGACATAGGCAAACAGTTTTCCAGATGGGTCAAATGAAGCCAGGCACAGTGGCTTGTACCTATAGTCCCAGCTACTCGGGAGGCTGAGGTGAGAGAATTGTTTGAGATCAAATATGTCAAATGAATCTCTACTCCAGTGCACAATGACATTGTGGCATAACTCTTTTCATTCACTGTCAAAATTCAGTCTTAAATGCCTTTAGCATTTTCATCAGTGGTATAAATAATAACCACCTATCTTTTAATTTATGTTAAAGAAAGACATTGCATTTTTATACGCAAGTATAAATGCATCCCACACAAATATACACAGAAGTCCGTGTATTTCTAGAATTTATACTTAAAATATATTTTCTTACTTTGACTACATAAAATGCCTAGAAAAATGTGCTGAGTTAGAAAGAATAGTTGAAAGAACATGTTATACTAGAACTAGTTGACTAAATTTTTGATAAGGTGATACATCTTATCCCTCCTGCCTCTTTGACATATATTGTTCATATTTCTTTGATTTTATTTCTCCTCTCACCACTTACCTAGTAGTAATCTCTGGGATTCTGTAATATTTGTTCCACATTTCACCTCACTTTATACAATTTCCTTAGGTGATATTATACTTGCTGATGAATTTCTGCTACAAGCCCTAGTTTCCTGCCCTCTCCAAGTCTGTATCCCTATTCTAGAATTCTCCCTTAAGTTTCGGATGCATTTACTAATTTTTTACCTCAACATGTCCATTTTGATGCTTCACGGACACCCTAAAACTCAACATATCCTAACTGTATTTCAAATCTATTCCTCTAAGCTCACTCTCCTTTCTCCAATAATAAGAATTTAGACACAAGTATAATTTCTTATTCTTATATTCATTTTGTCTCTCAGCTAGATCCTTTTATTGAGCTTTAAACTTTTTCAATCTTAATTATTCCTTTTATTTATTTTTAAGTGTAGTACTCTAAACCCTAGGTTCAGCTGAAAAACTCATGATTGTGCTTGGTATAGCTTAAGTATGCAAGCAAGCATGCTGATCCATACTTCAACTCATCATTGACGTACAGCTGACAGAGAAAAACTGTACACCTTTAAGGCAGCGGTCCCCAACCTTTTTGGCACCAAGGACCAGTTTCATGGAAGACAATTTTTCCATGGACCAGGGTTAGGGGCGGTATGGTTTTGGGATGATTCAAGTGCATTACATTATTATGCACTTTATTTCTATTATTATTACATTGTAATATATAATGGAATAATTATACAACTCACCACAATGCAAAATCAATGGGAGCCCTGAGTTTGTTTTCCTACAAATAGACAGTCCCATCTGGGCTGATGGGAGACAGTGACACCCAAAGTGTGTTGCTCCTATCCAGTCTACTCCATAATCTTGTTTTTGTTGCTATCACTGCAGAAAATCCTGCTTCATAAAGATAGGATGTTGGAAACGGAAGCAGGCTTTTCAGTGCTTTTGTGGCAATCTCAAAATATTCTGCTTTGATTATAATCTGGAATGTATAGAGGTTTGAAGTTGTCTCAAATATACTTTTAAGAACACTGTGATTTGTGATCTCAAGCAGTTGATCCTCTTCTAGCACAGAGAAAGTCGATTTACCCAGTTTATTCACAAATGGGTCGTGGATCCATTCCTTCCCAGTTCAAGAGCTGTTTTGCAGTTTAGAAGTAATGCTGAAACTTTTGAAAGCTGAGATAGGTGATCATACATCAGCTAGGAGAAAGAAGGCCCTGGTTCAGTCTCTTTCAAAATCTCTGCTAATGTTTGAAACATGTTAAAAATCTCAATGTTCACTCATTGCCCCCATGATTCTAGTTTGGCTTTGAATGCAGCCGCTTCATCTGCAAACTTGAACATGGTTGTTATTCTCCCCTGAAGTGGCAGATTGAGTTCATTGAGCAGTTTGAATATGGCACACAAGTACCCATTCTGTGTCACTGAAATGTTCTGCCAGTGGTGACTGTTTTCTAAAAGAAATCTCTGGACTAGCTTGTAACTCAAAAACTTGCTTTAGAAAGCTATCTCACTTCTGTGCATAAGACATGTGTGCTCTGTGTCCAACTCTTCACAGAGCTGTGTGAACAGACATGAGTTAAGGGCATGTATGTTAATGTAGTTGATAATTTTAATCACATCCTGTAAAATGTCGTTTAGTTCAGGTGACATTTTTTGGCTAGCCAACATTTCTATATGGATGACACAGTGCGTAGATTCACATTCATAAATGACCTCCTTGACACATGCAATGACATCAAAAAACCGTGCAGTCATAGCAGCCACTCCATCTGTGCATATACCTACACAAAATAACCAATTCGGTTTACCTGATATATAATCATTCAAAGACTTGTATAGTTCTGCAGCTGTGGTGTTGGTTAGCAACAAAGGTGTGCAGAACATATAATCATTCACATCCTTCTGAAAAATATATTGCACAAAAACAAGAATTGTTGCCTTCTCAGCATCAGTGGACTCTTCAACCTCGATTTCGTACCATGGTGATTCATTAATCCTCTCTAACAATTGAGCCTCAACATCCTCTGTTATTTCATTAATTTGTCTAGACATGGTGCTAACCAAAAGATAAAAACATGCCACCTTTTGAACTGTAGCCTCTCTTAAAAGTTCACAGCAAATGTCCTTGCCAGCAGGCAGGATCAACTCTTCACCAATAGTAAAAGTCTTTTTAGTTTTAGCAATGTGGTTAGCCACTAAGAAAGATGCTCTCGGTGTTGACACATTTGATGAAGTGGTGGCTTTCAATAATTGCTTCTGTTCTTCATGTTCACACTTTTTTTTTTTTTTTTTTTAAAAACTCCAAAGGCTTGTCTTTTAATGCAAAGTGCTTGGTCTCCGTGCGGCAAAGCAGTATTGAAGGTTTCATGGCTTCCTTAGATAGCCAGTCATCACACATTTTATACAAAGGGGACTTGGAGAATTTGAATCACCTGTTGGAATGAACCCATACTTTAAGTAGGACTCTTGGTATTTTCTTTTAAATACAGCTTTCATTTTGTTGGCAGTCTTAGAGTCTTCTGCTGTCTCATCATTAGGTCTTTCCCTCTTTTGAAAGAAGCTTTCCAGCAATGTTTTTTCTTTTAAATTTCTTATTTCAGAATATATCGCAGGGGTACAAATGTTTAGGTTACATATATTGTCCTTGTCCCTCTTGAGTCGGGGCTTAAAGCATGTCCATCCCCCAGATGGTGTGCACTGCACCCATTAGGTGTGAATATACCCAACCCCTACCGCTTCCTCCCCCATCCTACCTGTCTGACAGCCAATGAATGTTACTACTAGATGTGCACATTAAGTCTTGATCAATTAATTTAAATTTGACGGCGAGTACATGGTGCTTGTTTTTCCATTTTTGTGATACTTCACTTTAGTATAATGGGCTCTAGATCCATTCAGGATAATACAACAGGTGCTAGATCACTATTGTTGTTTGTGGCTGAGTAGAACTCCATGGTATACATTTACCACATTTTATTAATCCACTCACGCATTGATGGGCACTTGGGATGTTTCCACATCTTTGCAATTGTGAATCATGCTGCTATAAACATTCAAGTATAGATGTCTTTTTTATAGAATGATTATTTTCCTTTGGGTAGATAACCAGTAGTGGGATTGCTGGATCCAATGGTAGTTCTACTTTTAGTTCTTTGAGGTATCTCCATATTACTTTTCCCAGAAGTTATACTACTTTGCAGTCCCACCAGCAGTGTATGAGTGTTCCTATCTCTCCGCATCCACACCAACATTTATTGTTTGGGGGCTTTTTGATTAAAAGTGATTCTCATAGGAGTTAAGTGATATCTCATTGCAGTTTAGATTTGCATTTCTCTGATAATTAGAGATGTTGAGCATTTTTTCATATGTTTGTTAGCCATTA